TCCTCAGGACTCCCCCTCTTCCCATCTTTCCCATCGGCCTAGCCCATCAGTTCCGCAGCAGCAGGGACCACAGATGCCCAGTTAACTGCAGTGTCCTCAGGCCTGTGTGTCTGATGGTATTCTGCAGCTCTCAGCCACCCGTGGCCATCTTCTCTTACAGTCTCCACATCTAATGGCCCATGGCTGCTACCTGTCACATGTCTCAAGTCCAATCCCTCCATCCCATCCCCTGCTACCTTGGGAAGCAGAGGCCATGATCCAGGTCAACCTCGCTGACTTCCCCAGGGCGGTCGGCAGACAGTAAGTACTTGGACTTGTTCACAGTTGGACTTGAACCCCAGTGCCGCTGTTAACAGCAGATGTGACAGAGTTAGGCTGTAATCCAGGCTCAAGAGCCCATTCCCCCCGCTGTGCACTTGCAGAGTGCTTGGGAGAATTGGAGGTGGTGGGGTGCAGCACCCTGCATGGCCCCAGCCGCTGTGATTGGGTGACACCCTCATCTTCCTCAGCTGAGCTAATGCAGTCGTCTCACTGGCCTCCCTGCCTCCCCTTCCTGTCCCCTGGTCCCCTTCCACCGTCCTCCCCACAGCTGGCAGAGCTAGCCTGCTTGAAGAGCAGTATAGCATGGCCTCCTCCACTGCATTGCCCAGAAGCCCTGCAGGATGAGGCACGAACTCCCTAGCAAAGCAATCTGCCCACAGCATCTAAGTCTGGAGTTCTGGCCGCAGAGCCCACTTTCTCTCCTTCAAGGCCCACCCACCCTGCCCCCATGCTCTGGGTGCCCTGATACACAGAGCTACTCGTGGTTTCTCAGACATCCCGTGTGCTTTCAGCATCTGAGTCTTCTGAGCATCATTCCCTTTTCCTGAAATGCCTCTGCCTCTTCCTGGTGAGCTCCTATTCATCCGCAATGGCCAGCTTATAAATTCCTCTCCCTGATAACCCCAAAGTTTGTCTCTTTCCTTGGTGCATTCCTGATCCTTGGAGATGTCCCTGGATCACTTCTATCCTGTGTATTCACTGGTGCCCTATTTCCAGGCATGGGGCTCCTGGAAGTGCAAGGGACCCCATCAGGGTCACCTTTGTCTCCCCAGAGCCAGGCATTGATGCTTTTCATCCTTTGGCTTGGTATGTATCTGCTCACATAAAAATAAACAAGGCTGTTTTCCAGGAATCAGGCAGCTTTTGGGAATAGCTGAGGATGTGGAAACAAGAGACACTTAAAGTTCTCGTGCTTTTTTCTTTTTTTGTTAGCAGGAGTAGCAGCAGTAACAGCTCAGTGGAGTTCAGAAGGTCGGGAAAAATGCAGCTTGAGATCCTAGTTGTTTTGCAAGGCCCTTTCACTTTCCTTATCCACCGTAGCTGAGTTCAAGCCTCAGAGTCATTTATCCTTTGTTTTCCCCCAGTTTGACTTCTTTTTTTTTTTTTTCTAGTGTCTCGTTTTAATTCACTTGTTTCTTTTTTTTATTTTTATTTTTAATTTAGTTTTGGCTGCGTTGGGTCTTCGTTGCTGTGTGCAGGCTTTTCTCTAGTTGTGGCGCGCAGGGGCTACTCTTCGTTGCGGTGTGCGGGCTTCTCATCGCGGCGGCTTCTCTTGTTGCGGAGCACGGGCTCTAGGTGAGCGGGCTCGCGGGCTCTAGAGCGCAGGCTCAGTAGTTGCGGCACACGGGCTTTGTTGCTCCACGGCATGTGGGATCTTCCCGAACCAGGGCTCGAACCCGTGTCCCCTGCATTGGCAGGTGGATTCTTAACCACTGCGCCACCAGGGAAGCCCCCCAGTTTGACTTCTTTAAGCTCATTGCTTTCAGCCTGTTGAGTTTCTGCAGCCAACTGGAAACTCATGAATAACTGTTCAAAATCAAACAAAAAACAACCTAAGGCCTTACTCTAAGAGGGCCTCTTCCCAGAAACCTTCCAGCCTTAAACCTCTCATCTGATATCAGCTGCGAGACCCTTGACTCTTTGGTGGTGTGCCCTGGTCTGTTAATCACTTCACCTGTGCTCGTCTTGTCCCGCCAACAAGCCTGAAAAAGGGCAGGAGCCACGCCATCCAGGTCTCCTTTCCAGTTTCCCAGTAAGTTGAGGCTGAGGGCCCAGCTGAGTGCTGGGCACACTGTGAGGTCTCGCCGGATGCTGCTTCGGTGGGGCTCTGGGAGCTTTTGCTGGTGCTCTTTCAAAATTCACTGCATTAAGAGTTTAATCAATTTTAAGTAAACTGGGCAGAAGCCACTGGCCTCTTGGAGATTCCCTGGGGTGTTCTTCTCAATACCCAAGGATGGGGCAGGAGACTCTGCTGTTGGTCCATGGCTCTTTCCCAAGCAGAACTACCTAATGTGGCTTCTTTCTTGCCTCTCCTTGGCTATCACTTAACCATCTGCTCATCTCTTCTCGGGCAGAGATGAGGGCATCTTCCATCCTACCTCTAGGCACACGGGCCAACACATACCACATGCAGCGTTTGGGCCGCTGGCTATGTGAAGGTGTCCTTTACCTTCACTTGGCTTTTGACAAGCCAGAGGGGAAGTGACACATAGACTTCTGTGGGACCCGCTTGATTCTTCATCCTTTACCAGGACACTGAAAAGGGAGAGGGGAAGTTTCTCTGCTGTTTCTCTCTGCAGTACTCTCAAACCTTCTCCCTGCAGGGAGAGAGTGCTCTGATCTACGACAGGCAGCACCCACTCATCTGAGCGAGCTGGCTATTTGATCTGACGGTCACATGCGCTGGTACTGTTATCACTGCTTTTTTCCGAAATAAGCATCCTCATTCCCCTTTCCCTTCCTCCAGCTCTCTCCCAGTCAGTGGCAATATTCGTTCCAGGGAGTTTGGTTTTTCAGGAATGGAGTCAGAGGCTACTACCCCACTGAGAGCCAAGGGGGTGTTTGAACAGAAATAGGACACTGGGCTCTCCCTTAGAACCAGGGGAGCATAAGGGCTTCTATAATGAGGGGGTTAGGGGATAGTCAGGGGCTCTGGTTCAGTTCTGGGGCACCAGGCCTCTGGGGGATGCTGGAAGAAGGCCCTACATGGAGGCATCAGGTGGGGTGTTGCCAAGAGCTCAGCCTTGGAGTCAGGCAGCAAACCCAGCTCTCTGTCATGGGCCATGTGGGCCGTTATGGGTCTTCTCTGGGCCACCAGGTCCACATCTGCAAAACAGGCATAATGTTGCTTACCTCCTAGAGTTCTTGTGAGCTAGTAGGTACCTAATAACTTGATTCATTCATTTATTCATTATTTCCATAAACATTCATTCAACGCTTATAACAGCGTGAGGTGCCAAAGATGCAAGACAGGTGTGGTTCTGACTCTCGCTGAGCTAACAGACTAGACCAGGATGAGAAAGACAAAAATACACGTTAAAAATGAGAAAATAAATAAAACTGTTATTTCATTCATTGTTGATATTGTTCATTTTAAAATCTTACTTAAAAAATACTGTGTATTCAAAAAATATTGTACATTCATATTGCTAGTAAGTTGTGATTAGGGCTATGAAAGCAGGAGATAGATGCTGAGTTAGAAAATGATAAGAAATATCTAGTATGGAGGTGGTGGTCAGGGAGGGCTGCTCTGAGGAGGTGACCTTCCTTTCCCTCCTCTCCCTTACGTGGTAGGGTAGGGAATGTTACAGTGCAAGGTTTTGGTTTTTCTCTGAAGAGGAGCCTAGAGACGAATGCTACTGGTGGAGAATAAGAAATAACTAACGGTGTCACAGGATGGGAGGAGACGATGATGACAAAGCTCTTTGTGTGGTTAGCATAGCATTTCACAAGCATCGCTGTGAAGAGCTTCACAGATTTTGTCTTTTACACCAACCTTGTGAGACGGGCAGGGCCCACACAGTCTTCTCCACTTTACAGATGAGGGAATGAGCTTGGACAGATTGTGTGACCACTCAGAGTTCCAGCAGCAGGTGGTGGAGGGCGCCTCTGGGCGTCTTGGCTGCTGTCTTGGAAGGAGGGCCCTCAGTTGTGGCCCCTAGCATTACATTTAGACCCATGCTTCTCAGGGTTGGCTGCATATTGGAACCACCCGAGGAGGTTTAAGACCTAATAACTCCTGGGTCTCACTCCCAGAGATCCTGATATCATCAGTCTGGGTGCAGCTTAGACATCAGGAGTTTTAAAATCTCTCCAGGTGATTCCAATGCAGCCAGGGTTGGAAAGCACTGTTTAGACCCTCAAGGAGCCGCTGCCATTAATGAGCACGTTCTGGAGAGCCAGCTGGGCAGGGAGCGCCAAGGTGAGGACCCCACCAGGGAACGCCGCATCCTGGTCTTAATAGAGATTTAGGTCATTAACAATAATAACAGCAACAGTAATGGGGAAGGCCCTGCACCTAGACTGTTGCCCGCTGCACTGATGTTTCTGCAATGTACTTCCAGCTAGAAATTGGCCAGGGCTTCTATAACAGTGGCCTGGAGAGAGGCGTATTTGACAACTAGATCCGAGGCACCACAGCCCTTAACCAGCTTGGGAGTGACGCTGGCCTAGTGGCAATTAAAGTGGCTCAGTCACTGAAGAATCTCAGGGAAAGGTTTTGTTTGTCCAAGTGTGGCTTTTAATAGGTTGTCCATATTCCTGCGGGGACAGAGTAATCACTGTTTCATCTCCCTGAAGTGACTCTGTGTTTCCCCATCCTTGGGGAAAGGATTAACAAACAACTGGGTCAACCACAGCATTTCTTCTGATGGTTGCGGGTCTGATCTGTGTTCAAGTTCCCCAGACCCTGAGCTGTTTTGATTGACCTTTATTGAGGAATAAAATCCTGTTTCCAGATTCTCACAACCTGATAGGCTTGATTGGGCCACCTTGGCCACTGTCACTCCAGCGAATGGTAGCCCCGCAGCTTTGGCCGAAGTTGTCCATCTCGAAGCCAGGAGCCTGTTTGCCTCTCCCCAGCGATGCTGGCACTGGGAATTGCACCTGTTGGCTGGGCTCCCCCCACGTGCTGCCTGGCGTCACCCTGGACCCCTCCCCTTGAGACCAGAGGGCCCGTCATGGGGTGCTGTGGGATCGGAGGTGTGTCTGAGGTGGGCCTTTGGAGAGAAGGCAGCTGCTCTAAGGGATTCTTCTGTTTTCTGTCTCTAGCCCTGGAGCAGCTGCTGACAGAGCTGGATGACTTCCTCAGGATTCTTGACCAAGAGAACCTGAGCGGCACCGCTGTGACGAAGAAGACTGGCCTGGCCGAGCTCCTCCGGCTTTACACCAAAAGCAGCAGTGAGTGTGGCCGGGGCCTCAGCAAAGAGGCCCCCGTGGAAGCAGGACGATGGTCGTACGTGTGTTAGAGCTGCCGCCATAATGACACCCCACAGACTGGGCTGAACAACAGAAACTCACTTTGTCACAGTTCTGGAGGCTAAAAAGCAGGGTTGGTTCCTTCTGAGGCCTCTCTCCTTGGCATGTAGATGGTCCCCTTCTCCCCGGGTCTTTACACCATCTTTCCTCTGTGTGAATGGCGGTGTCCAAATTTCCTCTTCCTAGAAGGACACCATTCATCCTGGATGAGGGCCCGCCCCAGTGGCCTCATTTAATGTTAATTATGTCTTAAGAGACACTTTCTCCAAATACAGTCACATTCGGAGGTATTCAGGGTTAGGACTTAATTCATGCATTTTGAGGGGGACATAGTTCAGCCCGCAACAATAGTGCAAGAGTGATGGGACGTGTATGGCAGCCCCAGGAGTTTCTGAACACTCAACACAGTAGCCCACGAAGAGCACTTTTCCTTATGGTTGAAAGTAGAGAAGGGATAATAAACTGGTATAATAATAGCTAATGCTTAATTGAGCACTTCCGCCTGCACATGTATTGCTCAGGCTTCATCTTCAGGACACCCCTGTGGGGTTGGTGCTGTTATTGCAGATGAGGAGACTCAGGCCTGGAGAGTGTAAATAACTTGCCCAGTGTCATACAGCCCAAGGGAAAACAGGAAAACATTGTTTTAAGACTTTGTAAATCACAGAACTGTGAGTTCATTGGTTTTCTATCTTCTTAATTGAGCTAGATTTTGTATCCAATCAAGTACACAGATCTTCAGGAGTCAGTTCAGTGAGTTTTCTGTTTGTTTGTTTGTTTGTTTGTTTTTGCGGTACGCGGGCCTCTCACTGTTGTGGCCTCTCCCGTTGCGGAGCACAGGCTCCGGCCGTGCAGGCTCAGCGGCCATGGCTCACGGGCCCAGCCGCTCTGCGGCACGTGGGATCTTCCCAGACCGGGGCACGAACCCGCGTCCCCTGCATCGGCAGGCGGACTCTCAACCACTGCACCACCAGGGAAGCCCAGTTCAGTGAGTTTTGACAGCTGTATGCACCTGTGCACCCACCACCCAAAATAAGACGTAGAACATCTCTATCATCCCAGAAAATTCACTCTTGCCCCTTCCCAGGGCAAGAATTCCTCCCTAGCCCCACCCCAAGGCAACCATTTTTCAGATTTCTACCACCATTGGTTAGCGTTGCCCATTCTGGAGCTTCATATAAATGGAATTGGATGGTTTGTGCTTTGGGTCTGGCCCCTATCACTCCATGCTGTGGACTGTATCAATAGTTCCTTTTATAGCTGAATGGTATTCCCTTCTGCGAATATACTGCAATCTGCTCATCCATTCACTTGTTGATGGACATTTGGGTTGTTTGCAGATTTGGGCTAATATGAATAATAAGGCTGCTTTGAACAGTCTTGTACAAGTCTTCTTGTGGACATACGGTTTCATTTCTAGCACAGGTTTCTTTTTTTTAAAGAAAAACCTTGTGAAGTCATAACAGTTTAGTCGAGTTTATTTTTATATCGATGTTTGAGAATTGAAAGTGATATTTTGGGGACAGTAAGGGAAAGTAAGAGGACATCTAATCCATCTGTCTCACAGTAGGAATAGCCCAGATCCTTGCCAGGGAGGGAAGTGCACCTTCTTTGGCCATCCCAGTCAGGAACTCCTCCCCGACATCCAGCCTGCGTCCACTGGGCTACATTTCAAAGTCCCTTTTCCTTTTGTTTGTCCCCTGTGGAATTAGTTCCTATTGTCTGAATATCAGAGAAGTCATAAAGCTGAATCATGTTGCTATATGCCCGGCAGCCTTCTCTTCTGTCGGCATAATCTGGCTCCCTTAGCCTTTCATCAGAGGGGTTTTCCAGCAGCCCCTTCATTGCCTTTGAGCTCTACAAGGCTCCTCCTAGCTTTGTAGTGAGCATCTGCTGACCTGCCTTGAGTGCTGGTCAGTAGCACATCAAAGGTGGGATGAGCAGATGGGAAATCCCCATTACAAAGCAGGTAAGTTACAGAGGGATGAATCACTCCACAGAAGGACTCATCAGTGGAATTCTTTAAAGAGCACACTCCCAGGCCATTTAGATGTGCTCCAACTTGAGAATGTTGAATGATAAAGAACACCTTTGTTGGGAATTGAGAAACACCCCTGTGATGGCGTCTGACCTCCGGTTCTTGGTTCTCACCACTCCATCAGAGCTCCCGGTGTGGGGTCCCCTTTGTGGTCTGGTGTGGCTTCCTGTAGGGTGACCTCTGTTTCACCTTTGATGTGTGTATGTTCTGCTCTCATAAAGTCAGGCCTTCCCCACCCTTGGTCTCTGCAGCTTGTAGGGCTGCAGGAGCTGCTGAGAACAGGTCGGGGGGGGGGCCCCCCCGGTGTGAATCGCCCCCAGAGCACACCGAGACCACCGATAAATGCGCATAGCCGTACGGAGGCCTTTGGCTGTCACCTCTGTTCTCCAGGTCAGTGCCCACGGATGAATAGCCACTGTTTTCGAACTTCCCTTTCTGGTCCTCTTTGTACCCTCTCAGATGGCAGAGTGGTTATAACAGCAGCTCGCACTTTTTGTGCTCTAACCATTTCCCAGCCCGGTGCTTAGTGAATGAAATGACTTGGATTATGTCATCTAACCCCGTCCCAAGGCAGTGAGGGAGTTGCTGTCCCCATCTTACCAACAAGGGAACTGAGGTTTGGAAAGTTACTTTAGGCACATGGCCATGCGTGGCAGAGCCCAGGCTTGGGCCTGGGCCAGCAGACCTAACCGTTACGCTCCCCTCCTCTCTCCACGGTCCAGATGAGTCTGCACCAGGTTAATTGTGCTGCACGGGATAGAATCCAAAACCCCTTAAATTGAAAGCGTTGGTCGTTTTCTCTCAGCTTCCCGTGCCTGCCTCACTGTGTGTCTTCCAGAAAATTAACTCAGCCTGACGGGACTTATAGGTGGAGGCGGGATGATCATTTCACGATAGGCTGTTGTGGTCTCCACTGGCTGAGCTGCTGTTTACTTCAACACATTTGGGGCAGAGCACCGAGTGTGTGTGTGTGTGTGTGTGTGTGTGTGTGTGTGTGTGTGTGTGTGTGTGTGTGTGTGTGCACTTTTCAAATGGAATTTTCCATTTTCTGATCTTCAGTTTCACTGAAGTTTTCACTCTGCCTTTTGTCTAGGTGGTAAGGTCAAGACATGGATTGAGGTCTGTTTATTGTGGGCCCGATATTTTTTCCTGTCTTAACCTTGAGGGCCCCCCAGTACCCTGCTCAGAGACTCTGGGAACATTTCAGGGCTGCCCCTGTGATGGGAAATGCTTCAAACGTTCAGTCCATGCAGCTGTAGTAAGAGGGTCCGGGCCCCTCCTCCCTACCCCTTGCCACCACCCTCTTCACACAAGGGTCGTTCCCCCAGGATCCACACACTTGCTCAAAGCGCGATGAGCTCTCCTTTCCACCATACCTGTAGCTGTTGTCATTTCCCACATACCTGTGCGACTACCCCATCTGGGTCTGCCCCCTCTCCCCCTCCCTCCCCTGCCCCCGATCTGGTGGGTTCACAACGGCAGAGACGTCTGTTTTGTTCTCTGCTGTATCCCCAGCACCTAGTACAGTGCTGGTGCTCAGTGCACTTCTGAAAATGAATGAGAGAATGATGGAAATTCTCCAACCCGAGGCTGCTGCCTCCCAGACCTGGGACAGTTCATCAGGCTTCTCTTTCCAGGGCCAAGTTCACAGGATTGCAGATGGTCCTGGGAGCCTCTTACTTACCAACTGGATGGTAGTGGATTAGCAACACTGAGAATCAACACCTAGTCAAGTATGGCCTTCAGAGTGTCCAAGGAGGGAGACGCAGCCTCGTGACACGGCCAGTGCCAGCTTTCTCTGCAATTTACAAATCACCATCTTCGGGGGGGAGCACTGCTCAGAATCTTAACAGTTAAAACAATAACAACAATATCTTGCCTTTTCTTTTGTACGGGAGTGTGGGCTTAGTTAACAGTATGAAAAAAGAAAAGAATGTAAAATGAACATTGAACACTATTTACATTCCTTAAATTCCTTTTTTGATCTTTATCGGTATCATCGGGATATTTTCATGTAGTTGTGGTTTGCCTCTGTACTCTGCTTTGCATTATTTTTACATTTAGAATTGCTGCCTGTGCACATTTCCCTATGTTGACAGTTCGCATACTTTTTCTTTCTTTTTTTTTTGGTTTTCTGAAACATGATCCTTTAACTGTAGTTTTTGGATATCTTTGTAAACAGCAGACATAGAGCTACTTTGTTATTTTTCACAGGTGGGTAGTGTCCATCGATGGATGAACAATAATGTTCAACCAGCCCCCTATTAGTGGGCATTTAAGTTTTGTTCTTTAAAAAAGAAACCTCATATAATATTGCAGTAAACACCCTCAAATAAAATTTTGTTTACATGCTGGAGTTTATCTTCAAGATAGATTTCTGGCAGCGGAAATGCTGGGTTACAGAATATGAACACTTTAAATTATCCTCCAAAATCACTTCCAAAATGGTTGTGCCAGTAATCCATTTACTCTTAAAGGTGACCTGCTGTTACCTATGTTGATGTGCCATGGTTTCTTTCACCATTTTCCTATTATTGAGCCTTTGAGTTATTTCCCATGTTTTAGGCTGTCTTTTTTTTTTTTTTTTTTGCGGTAC